GTAACGTGGATCGAGCGTCTTAATCGTGTCCCGAAAGCCGCTTTTCTCCACTGTAAGAAACGGCACCGTGTCCTTCCACAGGTACGTGGTAATGGCGTTTGTAAGATCAATCCACCGTTGATTATTTCTCTCACACTGAGTGCCTTTAGCAAATGCTTGTAAAATATCCGTCTGCTGGTGTGTAAGACCACCTTTTTTCTTACCGCTCGACTGACTGGGCGTTTGTTGAGGACGCAGTTTTTGGCTTTCTTCATATTACACATCGTGCTTCGTTTTGAGGTGGTAAAACTAATTAGATGTATTCCCTCTATTCGTTAATACTTTCTTCTGGCATACTTTGCAGAATTCTGCTCCACATCTGACTCCTTAAAGCCAAACCAAGTCCAAATGACCGATGTTGCACCGGTCTTCTTCACGAGAACCTCCTCCTCCACCACAGGCTCCATGCTTTCAGCCTCAACAGACACCGCTTGATGACGTCATCAACATGTGCTACCGCGATAGGCCGATATAGTCAAAATCTCTACCGTTGGCCAAATTAATTTCATTTCTACCGTATACCGTTTATACCGCCCACGCCTAACTGCAACCACTTTAAAACAACTCTGGAGCTTTTTGCTGGCCGTTGTAAAATTACAGTTGTGGGCCCTGCTGTGTTAGCTTGCAGGAGACACGGCACTTCCACATTCACTGATGGTTAACAGTAGTTACTTTCCTCCTTCCTTTGTTTTGAAAGGAGAAAAACTGACAACCCAGCAGCCAGCTGGATATGAAACATGTATCAGCATAACTTTCCTTCCGAAATGACTGAAACATTTTGGGACTGTAAAATTCTCACTATTTGCAGCAGTAATTTCAAATAGTTGAACTGGACAACATTAAGACTTGCTTTGTATTGTGTGTGGGTGTGGGGCGAAAATAATTTCTGAGGTATTTGTGTGCATTAGGACCATGAAAATAATGGGTGAGAACTTCCTGCAGTTTATTTTTTTGTGTATTTATGGTCCATATTTTCCATTGTAGCGTGATGATTGACAGTACCACTACATATTAAAAGGACATTATGGAAGTGTGACAGCCAAAACATGTATAGAAATAATAAAAGTCTTCTTCATACATTCTCCTGCAATGCCCTGGTCCTGTAGAATGAGCCCTGGCATTTTTACTGTGATTGCCTGTTTTTCTGTAAAATCACAGAAAAAGAGAGATGCTCGGGTCGAGCAGGCTGCTTCATGCGCGTTCACGCTCAGGCATCGCCCGTAGCATTTGCTATCCGTAGCTTTAGCAGCAGAGAGAGAGGCAGTGCCACTTTGTCGCTGTTCCTAACGCCTAGTGACAAAGCTAGCTACATTTCTGAGGACCCTTAGCTACTTTCTGTAGAACTTTCTTCTAGATATTTCCTGCTAATTAGCAACAAAACAGCCATTTTCACTCCGAACCGTTCTTTGAACGTTGTTTCAGCTGTCATCAAGGATATAAATGTTACAGATACTGTGATGGTTACTGGTGTGTAGCTCACCTAGTAAGATGTCTGACTCTCATGCAGAAGACCTGGGTTTGATTCTGGATGTGAACATAGTACATTTAGAGTTTCTTTTTTTACATTAATGGTATATTTTTTACAGTAAGATGCCCAAATTTTTATTTGAGACTTGCCGAACGGCATTGAATTCATAGATAAAAAAGATGCACGGGGCAGAAAAGCCATTGTTCTTCAGGACACAGGCCCAAGATCGTGTGATGTACAAACTGAAGAACGTCAGGTGCTCGGACGGAATCGTCGTCATCTGCTGAAGAGCAGTGAGACCTTTCAGGAAGGACAATGTGAGGACGCTATAGATGCTGATGTACCCCACGTAGAGACATTAACTGATGTACATTTAGATGGACATGAGAAACACACAGTTGATGTTTCTCCAGAAGCTGCATTGAGGAGGTCACAGCGCACAAACAGCCGGTTAGACTTAGTTATGCATAGCGATGTTCTTGTCATTCATTATAGTTAAGCTTGTTGTTCATACTTCAAAGGAAAGGGTTGATATGTTGTAGAAAGTCATGGTTTTACATGGGTGACCAGCAGAGGTCGCTGTATTTTAAAGAGCACATTAGGGAAGCACATGAAGAAAGACCACAGTTGGTGTTGATGTCTAATAAAGAAATGTTTGTCTGAGCCGCAGGATGAGACACGAAACGGTCTGCTGTGTGATCCTTCACCAACTCTTAAAGAACAAAACAGCGTGAATATTGATTAACTTTTTAAATCGAACACGTACTGATCTTCAGAAATGGATCATTGTAAAAACAATACTCATTTTAAATTCATTGATTTAAGCATCTTGTTCGTTCATCACATATGATTATGTAAGCTCATGAGTTGTAAAGTCATGTCGGCTTCCCGTAGGTTCACTTTATTCAGAGTGAAGAATGTTGACGTCTGGCTTTACCCAGAGATCGCAGGAGCTCTGCAGGAGACCTGGAGTGAAACTGTCGGTCTTCTTGTAAGTAAACAAGCACTGAGCAGAACCTTCTGGACTTGGAGGCCTAATAGATAGTGGGTTCATGTCTGCAAATGAAAGGCCATCCTGTTAGTTATATGGTGAAAAGTGACCGTTTGGTACGTTACACCATGACGTTCATCTGAAGGTCTAAAGATGTTTAAAAAGCAAAAGTTAATCATTCCTCTTTGCGTACAAAGAAATTAATCTGAAGAGTTTTAATCAGAATCAGAATCAGATTAATTTTATTGCCAGCGCTCCTTTCAGAGCGTAGGAACTTGACTCCATAGTACAACCTGACCAAGGTTACACACACACACACATATAGACAAGACAGATACAGGCAGACCATGGGAGCAGCCATAACGGCGCTCCTTTGTAGATGAGTAAGGGAATACACGAGGGAAGTTCAGGGATGGAGAAAAAAGGCATTAACAGAGTTACACCAGCAGGGTGTAGCACTCCAATGCAAAAAAAACACCCGACATGTAAGCAACAAACGTCACAGTTCACAACATGAGACCCGGTAGGTAGGGGGGAGGGGCTGGGATCCTGGTTTCCCCAGCGGGGGCGGCCTGTGTGGCGCTCAACCAGCTGGCTCCGCAGGTGGGAGGGAGGTCATGGGGAAGCATAGAGAGTAGTGAGTCCTTTAGCTTGATGACCTCGGTAGAGACCACAATCTGAAGGCGGGGGGAGGGGGGGGGGAGAGATAGAGTTTCACAGCATTTGTCAGCATTCCTTCCAGCGTGGGGGGTTTGCATGCAACTCCAAGGCTGCTTATGGCGTCAGATTCGATAACAGAACTTTGTTTGGGTCAGGCAGAGATAATTTTTCCTCTCTGCCTTAAGTCTGTATTGATCATTCAAGTCCTCCAGTGAAGCCAATTCAGTGATTAAACATCTCCACACCGTCCGGTGACCCTTTCCGAGATGTTATCAATCCTGCGCGCTAACACCGGTAACGCAGCTAAGACATTGTCCAGCTTGCGATTCACCTCGAGCAACGTCCCAGTCTGTGAGGTATCCACACGGACGGTGCCGTCCATGGTTGCGGGTCGCCCTCCAATCGCTCCCGTCATCCCAATTTTACGGAAAGCCAGATATCCTCCCACTCCAATCAGAAGAAATCCAGCGATCATCAGGCCAAATAGCCACACATCTTCGATGTCCTCAATGGACAGCTGAGATAGACAGATGATATTCCACTTCTTCCAGGAATCAAACATATATCCCGCTGCATGTGTCCCTTGAGGACAAGCGTGAGCCCCCTCCTCCGTCCTCATTGTAGAAAAAATTTTATCAATCGCGTTGAATGACCAATTAATTAAATCCATGTTGAAAAATGTATTGTATTTCAGTTCACATACATCCATTTGACGTGTGTGTGTGTGTGTGTGCGTGCGTGTGCGCGTGTGTGTGTGTGTGTGTGTGTAGGGTCATTATGATAAGATGTTTAAATACTCACAACATCAGGCTGAGGTTAGAGTCTCTGGGCATCTTAGGAGGTCACAGACGTCCTCTCAGTCAGACAGTTCTGCACCACTCTGGTTCAAAACAAACCAGTATACCAATACTATGTTTATTATGTGTATTTATAGTACACACCTGTGGTTCTGAGATGACATCAGTGGCCCGCTGATGCTGTGAAAACTCTGGGGTACCCAGATATGATCCTTACTATGTTGATTAAAATAAATGAATTAGTGAGAAATGACATCAAGGCGAGGTATGTGGGGAAGAGTATTGCACTATGTTGCAACCGACCACACAACACGTACCACCCATAGCTGAAGCTGTATGCTTTGTCTGGTCATGTGTCGTGGCGGCGGGGGGCGTGGCCCTGCTCCCGTGACATCACGCTCCAAAGCCCTATTGATGTAAACCACATCCACTTCCGGGTTAGGCCACGCCCACTCCGAGTACAGATACAAATAGTGGTGTACTTGCTCATCCCTAGTTCTTATACTGCACGTTCTGCATTGTAACTGCTCGTCCTTTAACTTTGACTTTTTCTTTTAAATCTTAAAATCTAAATTTAATTGTGTGTACTTTCCTTGTGCTGTCACGTTGATTTTAATGTTCTTCATCTTCTTTGGAAATTGGAAAGCACATTGATTTGCTTTATAAATAAATAAAGCTTGCCTTCAGTTCAAAACAAATTTGAATTTTGTTATTACAACATTTAATTTTTACTTTATTTAAAATATATTAATCTTTACTTATGTTAGAATAATTTTTGTGTTGCATTACTTGAAAAAATAATCCTAACATATAATGTACTTGAAATGTTTAGTATTTTTAAAATAAGTTTTGCACGTTAAATGTTCTTTTAATTGCATGCTATAATATTCTACTGCAGCGTATCTGATACGTGAGAATTTTCAAAAATTTGGTCATTTTGAGATATATAAAGAAAAAAATTATATAGAATGTATTGAGAAAAATATGACAGCACGTAGAGGATTTGAGGCCATCTCTACCTTCCTCCTCTTTCTTCTGTGTCTAGAATGGGTGAACTACCCAGGTTTTGGTCTTTGCCCTCTGTGGTAGGTACTTTCATTCCCCAACGGATACCAAGGAGATCCTGTATGACCCAGCGTCTGTGATGAACGGAGACACGCTGAAGTTCTGCCAGAAGGAAGCCTGGTGCAAGCTGTCATTCTTCGTTTTGTCCTTTTTCTATTATCTTTATTGGTGAGTAACCCATGTGCTACAACACTCACTCTTATCGGAAACTGGTCTCTACTTAACACCTGTTAGTTGAGCTCAATGTTAAAGGGGACATATTATGAATATTTATTTTGCAAATTTGTGTAGATGAAATACTTCCCACATTGCAAGGTTGACATCAGAGGGCCCAGAGACTGCAGTCCCAAGCTCAGATCATCTAACCACTACATGGGAAAAGCACACGTGAGCTTATGTTTGTGTTCTGAGGGACAGCTGCAGCCATGTTGGTTACGTGGGTTAGCCTTCAAGAAACAACATAAATAATAAAGATAATTTTTCCATTTAGAGATTAAATCAGAGATCTTCAATATAATCATTGGCACTGAAAATAGGGAGTGGAGGCAGTCGCAGTCAGGCTGGGGGTGGAGGGGAGCACCAGCTGATGGGTAGGTTGCAACGGTGGAAAGATTCAACCAGTTGGGGGTCACTGGATTAAACTTTTGGAATGATTTAAAAAGAATGGCCTGTATGGTAAATGGCCTGTATTTGATGTAGAGCTCCGGGAGTTGACGTCACGTCTCCCGGCATGCAACAGCACAAATCGAAACGGCGCCATCTTGGCAGGCAGAAGCCCGCAGCTGGACTATTTAACATTGTCAGAAAACTCAATCAAACGGGAAATATGGTAGATTCCTGTTGTGCCCCAGGATGCAGAACAGACGCGGACGGCATAAGGAATGAGCCCTCTACAGGATTCCCCAAGATCCGGAGCGCCGCAAACGTTGGATCATTGCAATAAAACGCGCTAGTGACCGGGCTAAAATGAAGCTGTGGGATCCCGAGAGTAAAGGTTTTCACTTATGCAGCGACCGCTTCATATCAGGTACTTAAACCAACGTTTCCTCAACTGTGTATGGTATTTATTTTAAATGCTTTTATTACGATTCTTAGTGGGCTTCCTAAACTTATTTTGGCGGTGCTTTTTCTGTCTTATTACTCATAGCAACAAGTAAACGTCACGTAAAACGTTGCCTCGTGAGTTCTGCGTGCTGCCGTTTACGTGTTTTATGATCACAGCAATTAACCGGCTAAGCTGTATTTAATTTTTAAGCAATGGTTGATCAGTTGTCAGATCACACATAAAAAGCACTTTGGATTGCTATTGTCTGTCTCACCGAGTCAGATCTCAGACAGATCCTGAGACGCTCCTGCCTGACATATTTATTTTATTCACGGAAAAAATCAAACTAGTGATTTCTCTTGGTGTTCAGTTTATACATTCAAACAGCACAGCACTCTATTTAAACTACTTACATGTAAATCTGTTATTTGTCCATCCATCCATCCATTTTCATCCGCTTATCCGGAGTCAGGTCGCGGGGGCAGTAGCCTAAGTCGAGAGTCCCAGACTTCCCTCTCCCCAGCCACTTGGGCCAGCTCCTCCGGGGGAATTCCAAGGCGTTCCCCGGCCAGGTCCGGTAAGAAGTCCGCTCCGACAGCTCCTGGCGTTTTTAAAAAGTATCCCAGGGGCACGGTAAGGGTCGGAGATGTTTAGTCTAATTTCTGACTATATAAAACGATTTCTTCGGTTTTAAAGTGTGAAGTAAACTCCGACGAAGTAAAATCCAAGCTGATCCCGTTCATTTTGTTCACATTTGTTGCCTGCCAACATGGCGTCTACTCTCTGAGAGTCACGTGACATCCGGAGCTCTATAGCACCTTCTAGAGTCCTGGAACCCCTCAAGGCGCTTTACAACACAATCAGTCATTCACCCATTCACACACACATTCACACACTGGTGGGGATGAACTACGATGTAGCCACGGCTGTCCTGGGGTGCACTGACAGAGGCGAAGCTGCCGAGCACTGGCGCCACCGGTCCCTCCGACCACCACCAGCAGGCAACGTGGGTGAATTTAAAGAATAATTTAAAAACAAAATTCTCTTGGATCAAGCAGAAACTCAGAGGAAAAGGAGGAAACAAGGAAATAAAAACAAATAACTTTGCTGATAGAAGAACCGAATGACCCCTCATGGACCACCTTTCATTTTCTTTCTGGCTCCTTGATTTAACGGTGGAATAAGTTAGCTTCAGAATGTGTACTTGTGGCAGAAACTCATCCCATTGACCGAGGGAGACGCTCCTGCATTTAAACACAGTTTGATGCTTCACTGACAAGCGAAATAGCAGCTGTATTGGTCATGTGACTACTTCCTAAACAATATGCACACCAACGCAGGTGTCGCTCTAACGAGCGAGATGCATGCGCCGGTGTGTCAGTGTCGCTGGACCCACCACTAGTTCCTACTCTAGAACACGGTCTTTAAATAAACGTTTGATTTTTCAATATTCCTGGCTGCCTCCTGGATTTACCAGCATTTTGGGTTCTGCTACAACATCCATCATTTTCTGACACCTATAGGGAAACCTTACATACACAAGCGCGTGTACGCACACAGGTGCTCTCACAAATATGAACTTTTTAAACACACAACCCACCGCTGTGGTTGGCACTAAAGACATTATAAATGCTTTTCAGCAAAAATTGTTACTGTTACATATCCTCATTTGGTTGGCACAGCGATATTTTGGTTCTGCTGAATTTATGTGTGTCTCCTTTTTTCCCCGTTAGTGCAGGCCTAGAAGCAGATTCGTGTACATCCTTTATTGTTTATTTATGTAACCTCACTTTTTCTCCCCCATTACTCTTATATTTCTGTCTCCGTTGGGCTTTAAAACTACTGAAGATATTTCTAATAAAATTTTGACATCAGGCATTGCGTTTGTAGCGACATGAATGGCCTCATTTTGTGACCCAAAGGTCACACTTCCCCAGCTAGGTCACGCTGTCCTGGCTGAACTTCTGGCCCACAAATGATCCATCACAGGAGACGTACAGTCTGCTAAAACCATCTTTAATCTGACTGCTTTTATCCGTCTGCTGTTCCTCCGCAAGATGAAGGACACTTCAAGATTTAAAATAATTGTTTTTAATAAACTCTTTTTACTGTTTATTACAAGGTTCATAAATGATCATCATAAATAATCATCATGGTTCAGTATAAATGTATTTAATTACTGAAATGACTTGTTATTCTTTGGTTAATAATAATTATTGTTTATGATAATCGGTAATGTTTGATCAGCAACAAGAAGGTCATTTGCACTTATACACACCGTGCAGAGGGGACAGACCAGGGTAAAGGTAACTTGCTCTCACACGTCTTTGCTCCATAACAACAAGCTTTCTGTCTCTGAGAGGGCGTGTCCTGAGGTTTTAACTCCTCAGTTCAACTCCAGTTCTTGAACCAACCAGATACTCTTCGTGGCGATGAGAGTCCATGACGATAAGGGTCGGCCGCCCTGAAGCCTCCACCTAAGCTGTTCTGCCACGCCGATAGAATCGCTCCGAATAAACGCCGCCTGTAACCAGCTGACGCAAAACTCCTTCAGAGTTACTGATTTTGAGACGCAACTAGTTTCATCAGTCGTTGTGACCCGGAGACATCTCAGGACCGATTTGGTCACACTAAGGTCCCTCTACCAACCTCGTGCTCGGAGGTCATCATCTCCACCTGACATCTCGGATCCAACAGAGGGTCTCCTGACTGGGTGAGGTAGACACTTCCAACAGATGGTGTCTGTATGCTGTTCTCTACAAGAAATGACTCCGTTAGCTGCAAAACAACGTTTTTCCACCCAGAACGCGTTTCTCTCTCTGAAAGAAATCTTCTGAGATCCATCCACGCATCCAACACACGCATTTCATTCTAGTTTCCATTCAGACACAGGTTTGCTTTTAATACCAAGTTTTAATATCAAAGCTGTTATAAACTGTCATTTATAAATTGTCATTTTTAAATAGTTAATAATAAATTCTTAACTTTTTGAACCTGACTCTTCTTTGAAATGAAACACAGAGTGGTGTATATTTGGTTATTGAATAAGCAAAGATTCCATTAAGTCTTCTGTTTAATAAATAAACTTTTGCTATTACATTTAAATATCTTAAATTAAAAATTAATCTTTGGATTAAATATAGACCAGGCAGGTTGGTGTATGAACTTCTATCGATTGTGTAAATATCCTGGATATTTATCCATGATACAAGCTTCATATGCTAATTTGTCTGATCTTTCTCTGGATCTAACAAAGCTGATCGCAAACAGCGTTAATTCTAGTATGTAGATTATCTACGCTACACGTTACACCTTAAAGCTACACTGCTTCACCTGTGAGTAAAACTGTAAGGCTTGTCTTCGGCACTCAGACATAATTCAGATTGCTTTACAGCCAGACAGGACATGGAGAGAGAGGGGGAAAAAAGTAACTGAAAACATTTAAGTATTCCTTATTCCTACCGCATATATCAGCTATATTGGTATCGGAAATTAAGAGTTAAACAGTACTGGTATATAGGGAACAATATTTGGTTAAAAAAAAAAAGCCTATACTGAACATCACTAATATGCATACAAACGATACCTGTCACCAAACACCGACAGTAAATGGGTGAATGTTTTTTTCTACATTCGGAGTGTTTATGTTGACGGTAGAGAGCCACGTTTGTCAGCACAAAAAGCGCATTTTGCATAATATGTCCCCTTTAAATGAAAATGATCGACTGATTCCAGTCATTAAATCGGTTAACTGTAAACCACCATGAGAGAAAACCTTTGATTATAGAACCATTTTCTCCAAAAAAAGCTACATGTTTGCTCACGAGGACAGGTATGATTCTTCTCCAAGTACGTCTAATGATTTCTTGATGTTTTTACTGAACTTGTGTAATGAAAATGATTGATTGATTGATTGATTGATTGATTGATTGATTGATTGATTGATTGATTGATTGATTGATTGATTGATTGATTGATGATTATGTCTGTGACTAACTGTGCTGTTATTAATCTCTGTATTTTGTTCCATTTGTCCCATGGTACTGCAGTGTGTGGAACCTGGATATATCCCTCTATTAGCTCTTATCAGGGAAAACACTCAAAGGTACGAAACTTAAAGTTTTCATCATGATGTTATGTGAAACAAGATGTACGCAGAAAAAATAATCAGGAAAAAATGAAGTTGTGATTAATTTTTTTTTCTTGAAAGGTTAAAAAAGCTTTATGATTATAAGGTTTAGGGGGTTTGTGATTTTTTTTCTTCTCATCCAGAAAAGCAGTAGAAATATGAAATGACAATATTATGAATGAACATCACTTCAGATCCTTACTGGAGCTGAGCAATCAGCAAAACAGATTCCCATCATAATGTGTACGTGCAGCTCCAGGAGGACAGAAAAACTGTAAAAAGTTCTGCAAATGGTGGAAGCGGAGCTCTTGTCCGCTAACAAAGATAATGCAACAAGGAGATCACACTGATGTTTACTGGCCAAACCACTTTGATCCATGTACATTTCCCCCTCGTCCACTGAGTTTTCACCAGCATCGGAAAAACATCACTAGCCTGGCTCAATCCAGGCCTTGGCGCGGGCCTGGCACCCCACCCAAGGTAAACAAATGGGGAGGTGATCCACGGCACGTCCAGTGACTAGCTGTATGCTGGATGGCGATGTTTAGGACGACTGGATTTATTTGATTTTTGTCTTGAGCACCCACTAGAAGAGGCTTCTGTGATTACACCGAGCTGCACCAGCAGACTCTGAGCCATTAATGTTCCTGAACGGCTAAAATAATTCAACAGTAAAACGTATTGACTATTCAGCGTTTATCGGTGTATGTTTTTCTGTACAACATGTCATCTGGCAGGTAGCTTCACATCTATTCTGATCATAATATTAATATGGAGACTCTCATGTAATCTTTTCACTACCTGGTGGAGTCATCCGGAAACGGATTCATTTATTTTGTCCAGTAGCAGTTGACCCACACATTTACTATTTGGACGGTTTCCCTGATGCATTTGTCAAAGCTAGGACGTAAAGCAGTGAGGATGCTTTAAGTGATATTTTCAAACAGCCTGTAGAATTAATGCGTTTTCTTTAATGAAAACAAGATATGTCAGAGATTAAAGAAATGTGAAATGATGCACCAGACAAAAATCAACGTTATCCGTGAAAAATGAAAAAAAAAAACACCCAAAAGACAATGAATGGTGAGTGAGTTGCACTTGTGTAGCACTTTTCTGAGTCAGAGGACTCCAAACTGTGACAGGCTGAGCAAAGCCCGAGACTGCAACCCTCCGGTTACGGGGCAGTCCATTATTCAACAAGTCGTAAAGAACTTTTCTATTGATCTGCCTGCAAGTTTGAGATGAAAGGCTAACAAAAGATGGATAAATGAATTAGAAGTGAGGCAACCTGAAACCTGCTCTGTGGGACTTGATTATTACTGAGCCTGCTCCTAAAACCCAACTTACCTTCCTCAACCACATCTCGTCTCTCACGCATTTATAGAGCTGTTCCTGACACTAGGGATGTGAATCTCCACCTCTGAGGCCGATTAAATTCGTATCTTGATACTCTGCCAGCGATACGATACAATAACGATACGGTGAAACCCTCTTCAGTTCTGGAATGCAAGCGTTGCATTTTCCAAATATGGTATGGGTCGGACAACTGGCCCGGCACCGCCCCTTTCTGCATGCATCTTATCCTCCCTCGCTGAAGACAGAAAGAAAGACAGACGCAACAACCTTGTCATCCCCTATGTAGCCGATGTATCAGAGAAACTCAGGAGGGTTTTCTCCAAACACAACATACCAGTGTACTTCAGGCCCAGCAACACACTCAGACAGAAACTGGTTCACCCGAAAGACAAAACTCCTAAACACAAACTGAACAATGTGGTGTATGCTGTACAGTGCAGCGAGGAATGCCCAGACCTCTACATCGGAGAAACCAAACAGCCACGTCACAAGCGCATGGCACAACATAGAAGAGCCACCTCCACGGGACAGGACTCAGCAGTCCATTTGCATCTAAAGGACAAAGGTCACTCTTTCGAGGTTGCCAACGTTCACATTTTGGACAGAGAGGACAGATGGTTTGAAAGAGGAGAAAAGGAAGCCATTTATGTCCACTGTGAGCAACCATCTTTGAACAGAGGCGATGGTTTATGACACCAACTGTCTGCCATCTATAATCCAGTTTTGAGATCCCTTCCCAGATGCCTCAACGCCCACGCATATCCTGGGCCATCTGACCTCAGGAATTCACATGATAGGGTGGGGCCAGGCTTCACAATGAGCTCACCCGAAACTCTGGCTGAACAGGACCCACACCCACCCTCAATGTGTTTATGTAGAAGATCATCAGGGGGTCTTTTGTTCCCTCTTCGGGGGGGGAAACTCCCACTGGGTTTAAATCTGGGACTCTCCACCATTTGACCGTAGAACTGAAGAAGCCTCTCGGATGAGAGGTGAAACGTCTCCAAGCAACTCAAAGAAGTCCAGACGCTTTTCTTTCAAAGCTCATTAGATTATTTGCTGTTAGAACAACTTCTGGACTCAGAATCAGCTGCTTGACTTGTCTAGTCTGCCATTTTACGCAGTCCTTGCCTTGCTGAGTGAACTTTTTAGTGCCCTCTACTGGCTGGTAAATGTAAACACAAACACAGTGTCATGCTCGACAGGGCAGCTACATCGTAGCTGATCCCCACCAGTGTGTGAATGTGTGTGTGAAGGGGTGAATGACTGATTGTGTTGTGAAGCGCTTATTCGAGTACTGCAGCCCTGGACACATAAACAGCCACTGTGATTCTTTTTGTGGAGCTACAAATGATTCCTAAAACATTTACAAGTAATGAGGTGTTCACAGGGCAACATAATTTTACATATAACCAATGACAATTGTGACTTTAGAAAGTAATAAATAATCTATGAACATTGCCAAATGTGTTAAAGCGTGTTTGTAAATGTTCAATTAATCATTATTTAACCATTTGTAAATGCCAACTCAAGCATTTATATGTAGTGTCTAATGCATTGTAAATTATCCTAATAACTTACTAAACACTTATAAATGTTTAATAACAAAACATTATTAGAAAGTGTTAGCATTAGTTCTGGGATCAATAAAATGACAACAGTGCCCACATTTATGCACCGGCCTAATTCTGTTTAAACAATTATTGCTCATTTTCTGTAAATCCTACAAACTTCGTTTCACTTCTCAAATATCACGGTGTGTGTCTCCTACATGATATGTTTGACAGAAAATTTTATTCTCACAACCAATGATTTATACAGGGATATCAAGGGAGGGGAACCGTAATTGTCAATTGTTTTATACTTGGGGAGGGGGGCTGGGATGGGAGTATGGGATCTATGGGGCCATTTTAGTCTGTGAAGCACTTTGAGTTGCATTTTTTTGGATGAAAAGTGCTGTATAAATAAAGTTGATTTGATTTGATTTTGATTAACAAAACTTTCACATGCCACTGTACAACAACAGGAAACCATCAGGGTAACAGTCTGCTATACAAAAGGACACCAGAGGAAATGTATGATTTTGTCATGTCTGCGTCTCCCTCATGTGTCTCCTTGTGTTGCTCCATCCCCCTCTAAGGATCCCCTCATGTGTCCCCTGGTCTGCAGCCCCTCCAGATTATCCCTCCCAGGTCCTGTGCTCCCGTTGGTCTCCCCCAGTCACCCCTCTGCAGTTTTTCTATAAGGTTGTCCATTACTACAACCCGCCGCGTGCTCTCAGGTCTGAAGATAAGCTCCTCTGTTCCGAATGCTCGTTTAAAAAGCCGTGGAGAGAGGGCTTTCTCTGTCTGTGCACCCAAGCTGTGGAACGCATTACCACTGCTAGTGAGGCTAGCACCAACAGCTAGCATTTTTAAATCACGCCTGAAAACTCACTACTTCAACCTAGCTTATACCACATAATTATGACCATCACTTACATCTGCACTGTTTAAAAATGGACTTCACAATATCAACTTCCGTATTATTGAGGTTCTTTTTTAAAATGTTTTTCTAATTTTTTATTCTCCCTGTGTTTTATTGATTTTTAACTGTTAGTTTTAGGAATTTAGTTGTATTTCCTTTTTATCCTTTATCTGTGTTCTACATGACTGTATGACGCCGGTTTAATTAACTAACATTTTTAGTGTACAGCGCCTTGTTTGGTTGTAATGCCTTGTTGAATGGGCTTTATAAATAAAATTGGAATTGGAATTGGAAATGTTCAGCTGTTCATATAATTAGTCTCTTTAGTGTGTTTCTTTCCCCACCGGTTTTGGTAGTTTTCCTTCCCCCTTAGAACATTAGTTATTTAGCTTGCTCTTCTGGTCTTTAGGGTTTTGCTCTTAGGTCGTGTTAGTTTCCTCTCCCTGATTAGTTAATTGCTTTCACCTGGTTCTCTCCCCACGCACCTGCAGCTTATCTTCCACTCATCATGCCCCAGTGTATTTAACCCTGTCTGCATCTCTGTTTGTTGTTGGGTCATTGTTTGTGTCACCCTTGTCTCGTTCCCCCTCTCTAGATTTTGGGTTTTGGATATCTCTAGGTTTTGTTATTAGGACTTTTTGATTTTTGTTTTTGGCTCGCTGCCTTTTTGGATTTAGTCTTTAATAAAGGATTTTACGTTATTTCTACCGACCCTGTGTCAACCGGCATCTTTGGGTCCTGACCTCCTCTTGGCTCACAACGTGACAGATTCAGTGAAACAAAATCAAAAGTTTGATTAAAGAAGGATGGTGACTATCTGAGGTCAGACAGAAGAAACAAGAGAGGAAACAATCTTTTATCAAACTTTACTCAGGTTTGCACATAATGCTCATTAGCTTGTTTCTTTTTCATCATTTATTTCATTTTCTACAGACTGTTTTGTTTCTTTCTACAGAAATTAGAGAATTAAAAACCAAAACCTGATATGAAGAATGTTAATACTTGTCTGACTTGTTTCAGATATTTTACTTTACTGCAAGGTCAAATATCCAAAAGGCAGTAATCTATTATGCCTCTGGTTTGGAACAATAAACCTAAAACCAAAACCATAATACCTCAACCAATATAACCAGCTTTAACTCAAACTGCTGCGTAATAAATACTCATCCAGCAGCCAGAGCCCGGGGCCGACCACTGGCCCTTTGTTTCTTAGGCTGTTGGATGAGTTTCTTGCTGCTTTTACAAAATATAGTTTTTTTGTCTCACTTCCTGTTTTGTTTTCTCTTCTTGTGTTTCAGTTAGACCCACTTCCTGGTTACCGCATAACGTCCACCCTCAGTGAGTTGGGACAAACAGAACAGCATGCAGACTGATGCCACTGCCCATTGAGTCAGAAGGGAAGTGTAAAAACAGGGACTAAAGTCTATTCATTTATTTTACTGCGAAACCAAACAATGAACTCAGAACTGTTTTTCTGATTCGCGCCACAACGAGATGGTCGAGGACAAAATCTGCCGTTTACAGTTTGCTCTGAAGTTACACACTGCCTGGCATTACTCACACACAAGCACACACACACACACACCCTATCTCTGTCCTCTGACACGCCACTGTACATGCGGTGGACTCATGGTGGCCACAGCCCCGAGGGCAGAGAGCACAGTAGCATTTGCACAGTTTGTCTCAGGCACAGCGCACTAGAGAACCGTCCAGCCCGGCCCAGCTCGTCCCTTGCCCATTGACTGAAGTACTGTCTGGCCCGCCTCCTCCTCACAGATGTCTCACCAACTGTAGCTTCACTGGTGAGTCTGCAGCAGCAGCAGAGAGGTGGACCAAGATGGATTCCTCACAGAGAAAACAAATGAGCTCCTGAACGAGCTAACAGGCGAGTCGGTGGGATTTACTTTCTAACGTGACATCAGTGGCTTTCTGTGATGTGTTGTATTTTATAAATAAAAGGCATTTCTATCTGACTGACAGAACATATATTCTATACAACCAATGCCTTCTTGTGGTCGTCCTCGTGTTGTTCTGTTGTGAGAAACATTTATAAACTCAAACTAAAGAGCAGAGCTCATCGGAGGCTTTTGTGGTGGAAGAGCACACGTTCTTTGCACAAAAGGTTGCATTGCTCTTGCACGTGATTTCCAACATTTGGCTCTTTTTTTTTAGAGAATTAGTCCTGTTCTAGTGAGACAGGTGAAGGTCTTCCAGCGTGTAAAGGACTCAGCCCGGTCAGATGGGGAACAATGTGAATCTTTTCTATCTCTTTGGACAAAATGTTGTATTTTCACTACATGAGCTGATTTATGTTTGATTATGATGTGCTGGTGACTTACTTCTATGTTTTATCTGAAGATGAATGACAGCACCTTTATAACACAATATTTCAAGTCATAAAGATAATACCACAGCTAATGAATCTAGTGGCTGACATGAACATTTAACCCCATTGTCCACATGTAGCACACTTTTATCATGGACCTGCATCGCCACATCGACTGTAAGCACTCAAAGCCCATGGGAATGCCCTGTTTTTGTTGTTTTCTCTTATTCTGACTTGAGTTTTTTTTTTTAACACTGTTTGTGTGACCAGCCACACTAATGTTGAATATTGTTTATGAAATAAAAGAAACATCCCTTTTGTGTCTCTTTGTGACCCTGTGATGGACTAGCTACCAGTACGGGTGTGTTTTTTTGTGTGTGTGGGTCTTGGGCACAGTTTGCCATGTCGAGAGGGCTTACCCAAACATTCCTCAGAAGACACGCCTTGTTCAGATACAAAAGGTTTTTAACACTTTCTAAATGAGAATGTTCAAAACTCTTATGTGAGGTGAATATTACTCTTAACGAGTATCTTATAGTGATGTTAGTGTAAACATTGATTAACTTGTTAAATCAACACATACTGATTTGTGAAAAAAAGGATCATTGTAAGAACAATACTCATTTTAAATTAATTGATTTAAGTACAGATTATTGAAAGATTTGATTTAAACATCATAATTCATCACATATGATTATTTAAGCTTATGAGTATTAAAGTCCTGTAGTCTTCATTTATTCAGAGTGAAGAATGTTTGAGGTCTGGCTTTTATGCAGAGAGTGCAGGACCGTGGGTCCGTCTCAATGTTCTGTCTTCTTGTAAAAACAAGAACAAGCACTGACCAGAACCTTCTGGATTTGGAGGCCTGATAGATGGTGGGCTTATGTCTGTAGATGAAAGGTTATTATGTTGGTCAATTGCAGGGGCGGCGTTAGGCCCGGCTACTTGGGCTCAAGCCCCGAATGTTTTATGAAAAGCCCCAGATCTAAAACATGCAGTACCAAAGTCCAACTGAGAGGGAGCAGCTGGCAGTAGTTTGTATACAGCCTGCCTGAGCCTCCACCACTGAAGAAGCCCTTCAGCAGCCGCTGTCGGTACAGGATCTGCTCGGGTGCAAGATCGGCTCGGGGTCCTTCGACTGCCGATGACGTCAAAGTACGGCAAACCCACTCGGACAAAATACACTACACATCTATACTGTTGAAAAGAATTTAGCAGTTTCATTATTAAAATAATTTTTCTTACAACGTAAGTTTGTGTTTATAATGGTATTTGTAAAATAAAACACTATATTGTATTCATAATGTTGAACTCCTCTTTGAGCACATCCCTTGAAGGATCATAGGTATTAGCAACACCTGTGAAATTGTATTTGCAGGAAAGAAGTGTGTCCCGTTTACTGAAGTATTTTGTGTTTAGAGTTTTTGACGTCTTGTCCATGCGTAGTTCAGTTACGCTCATAGCTGCTAGCCAAAACTCTGGAGTTAAAAGTTTTCTGGCTTTACTAAAATACTTGTCTGTACTTATTTGATTGATGGTAGTTTTACTTTCTATTAGACTCCAAATGTAATCATTTGGCACGTTTCTAACTCATAATTTGTAATAATGTAATCGGTGGTATTAGCATTAGCGTTCCTATGGGTTTTTCCACGTATATTAGCATTGCGCTAACCACTCGCTGCCAAATTGCAGCCTTTGCAATTAGAAAATCTCCTTTTGTCACATCGCAATTTAATTGCACATGCAGTTAATCGTTCAGCCCTAATATACATGCAGCTCTATGCTAAAAGTGTATTTTCAAAGAGGTAATGATGGATTTCTTTGTAAAAGTTGTCCATCTTTCCAACAGAAAATTAGCCTGGACCAACGTAACGTGATAACAACGTAAAGTGATTACGTAATTACGTAAGGTTCATGTTCAGCCAATCAACTACTTTGACGCCACCGGCAGTCGACGGACCCCGAGCCGATCTTGTACCGACACCGGCTTCTTCTACAGTCTGCCTGAAACGCAAATGTAAAGATGGACATAAGGACGTTTTTTAGACCAAAAGTACGGCGACAGAACCCCAGCTTTGATGAGACTGGTGTTGACTCAGGTTTATGAGTCTTATTTGAAAATATTTCTGATTTGTAATATATATGATGTTGACTAGTGTGTGTCACGTGTGTGTGTGTGTGTGTGTGTGTGTGTGTGTGTGTGTGTGTGTGTGTGTGTGTGTGTGTGTGTGTGTGTGTGTGTGCGTGCACGTGTTAAGCCCCGGATCTTCTTCAGTCCTAAATCCGCCCCTGGTCAATTGGATGGTGCAAAATAGACCACTTGTATATGTAACAAACTTCACCACATTTCAATGATTTTCATGAGACTAATTATTTTTTTGATATGGGGTCAAACTTCACCACAATTCAATTATTTTCATTGAAATACCCTGTTCTGCTAATGTGGAGTCAAACTTCTCTGCATTTCAATGATTTTCAAGAAACTAAATACTTTTGCTAATGTGAACTCAAGCCTCGTTGTTTTTCATGAGACTACAAACTTTTTCTAATGTGGAGCGAAACTTCACCACATATCAATATTTTCACGAACCTACTCAGTTTTTCTGATGTGGAGTCAAACTTGAGTACATTTAATGAAACGAAATACTTTTGCTAACGTGAACTCAAACTTCACAAATTATCAATAATTTTCATGAAACTAATTACTTTTTCTAATGTGGTGTAAAACTTCACCACATATCTGTCACTTTCTGCCCCTGCCTTCCTGACTGTGTCTCTCTCCTGCCCTGATTAGCCCTTATTGTTCTCACCTGCCCCTCGTTAACCTGCCCATGTGTTCCTGATTTCCCTGTGTATTTATACCTCCCTCCTTGTGCCAGTCTTGGTCAGATCAATGTTGCTTGTAGTCATCGTTGTTTTGTTCCTGTCGTTCCCATTCCACCATTAAAACCATTTTTATTTTTCATCCGTGCCTGCTCTCCTGCCTCCTGAACTCTCCACCACACATGGTCTACCATCTCCACTCCACTCCCAACATGACAATATCAATGATTTTCATTAAAATAAGATGTTCTGCTATGGTGTAGTCAAACTTCAACAGGCATCATTGATTTTCAGGAAACTACAAACCTTTTATATTGTCAAGTCAAACTTCACCACATAACAATATTTTCATGAACCTACTCAGTTTTTCTAATTTGTAGTCAAACGTCACCAATTATCAATGATTTGCATGAAACTACTCACTTTTTATAATGGGGAGACAAACTTCACCGCAAATCAATTATTTTTATAAAATACCACGTTCTGCTAAGGTGGAGTCAAACTTCAACAGGCATCAATGATTTGCATGAAACTAATCTTTTTTGCTAATATGTAGTCAAACCTCAGCACAAAACAACTATTTTCTTGAAACTACTCACTTTTTCTAATATGGAGTAAAACTTCACCACAAACCAATGCTTTACATTAAAATAACCTGTTCTGTGTTGCTCAATCCCTGCAATAAAAAGATCAGATCTTCTGATTAAATTGACTCAAAGATCCATGAAGGCGATATTGTTGCAAGCTCCCGCATGCCAGAACCACAGAAGGTAATAAAGGAAGAGGACACAATGGGAGAGGTCATGAGGAAAGCAAAGATAAGCGGGAGCCTGCTGATGCGAGTGGAATCAGGCAGGTGAAAAAAGAGAAGTGGACCAACTGAAGGAAGCACCACAGGATGTGGAGCCCTCCTAGGGGGAGTTTGAACTTTGGGTGGACCTGAAACCATCTTACAAATGACAAAGCGAAAAATTATTACAGAGTTGAGTTATTATTACAGTAGTATATTGCCCAGAAAACATACAAATTAGTTGCCCACCGTTTGAGCTGTTGAGTGTTTTCTTAACTGAGACTCAGTGACACACTGCAGGGGGATTTGGCATTTAATTTTTCTTGGCGTCTGGAAAAACATCTCCTTCCACCCCCTTTATTTGACTTTCTGCCCCTTTATTTTGGTCCAAGACCATTACTGGGCTGGCCCTATTAAACACCTTCTACACCCCTGCTTAGTAGACTTAATGAAGTATTTTTAAACCATTTAAAAATGACTGAAACACAAAATTACATATTTGGCATTATTGACCAATATCTTTGATTTACTGTATTTGTTAAGAACATCGAGATGCATTACAGTGAACATTATAATAAAGTACATGTTTCTAGTGCAGAGAGGAGACGACCCATAGAAGCACTGATTTGATCTCATTTCAGAGGAAAATAGAACAGGTCAGATGCACCTAATAAATAAAATTACTAACATAAACTCAGGAATCTGTTTCTTTACTTCATTGTTCTGGTGCTGAAAATATCACTAATGCAGATCAAAGGAGATACACAGATGAATGCACCTCTTATTTATTATTTGGACAGTAGTGGGTGTGGTTTACATCAGGGGCGGCGTTAGGCCCGGCTACTTGGGCTCAAGCCCCGAATGTTTTATGAAAAGACTAGTGCGTGTTACGTGTGTGTGTGTGTGTGCGCGCATGCGTGTGTTAAGCCCTGGATCTTCTTCAGTCCTAAATCCGCCCCGGTTTACATCACCACATTATTTTGAAATCTGAAATTGATATGGATTGATCAGAAGTTGATATGTGTATTGTTTATTTGAAAACTATTTACAGAGCAGCCTCAGAATTGAGATTAAATATTTTTGATCTTAATAGTAAAGGAACTATTACAGATCAAGTTTTTCAGTAAAATCAGAACATTAATATTTACGTGCATGAATTAATACATCTGAACTCATGCAGTAGGAACTAGGAAATATGAAATACTAGAACCAGGCACAACTTTTTAAATTTGTTTTATTTTAATTTGATTAAACTGATTTTTTACTAACGTTTTTCCCACACACAGTTAAACAAAACAATGTTGATTAAGGTGTGTGTGTGTGTGTGAGAGAGAGAGAGATAGAGAGAGAATTTTAAAAAACTCGACCGAAGCGGAGGCAGTGACTGACGCAGCACGAGCCGTTTTCAGCTCTGTCTTGTCAAATGCACCACGTACGTTACAAAAAGTCAATTTAAATATTCAACCGAAAAAGAGGCTAGTTGAAGAAAACCTAGGGAGTACTGAAGAAACGTGAGCAACAGTGAAGCAAGCACAGAGAGATCCGTTACTGTCTATGTGTGTGTGTGTGTGTGCGTGGATGCATGGGCCGGACTGAGCTCCCGGCTGCAGAGTTTTGTATGTAGGGAGGGGCGGGCGCTCTATCTGACTGGCCAATCACAGAGCGTGAAGACATTCAGTTACCCAATGAGGATTTTCCTTCAGCACGATTACAGATATTTACGAGTTTTACTCATTTCATGCTCGTATTCGTCAAAAATGCGGCTCATCCCTAGCTTTAACCACCCTGCTCTGCCTCCTCCTCCTTGCTGCCTGCCGGCTGTGATCACAGGCAACAACAGAGTAGTTCCTGCTGCTTCCTCGGGAAACGGCGCAAAGAAAAAAAATCAATAAAACTTGGGATCTTGTAGGCGTGGCGCTGGGATTTCATCTGCGGCGGGCCACCACGGCTATGCAAGGGAAACACTGCAAGAGCCAGCTTTGTAGCCGAGGATTAGACCGCCAAGGTCCCCACCCTCGACTACCACCCGTCACACACTGCACCCGGAATAGTTTAAAACACGACCATCCTCTGCTGGAGCCTGTTGTGTGGTGCTGTCTCCTGGTTCCAACCCAAGGTACAGCTCTGCTGGCCACCTGAAACTGTTGAATACATGTCCATCCTCTGCTAAAGGCTTTTGTGCGGTGCTGCGTTCTGGTTCTAACCCACTATACAGCTCTCCTGGCCAGCTGGAACAGTTAAAAACACCGCCATCCACTAGGTGCAGCACCGTGGTCTGGAGCCCGAACCAGGGTGCTGCACCCTGGTTCCGATCCAGGGTATAGGTCTCGTGGCCCTTTGGAACAGCTTTAAAAAAACATCCAACATTTTAATCAACATTGTTTTGTTCAACTGTGTGTGGGAAAAATGCCAACAACGTTAGGAAAAAAATCTGTTTAATCAAATTAAAATAAAGCAATTTAAAAAAGTTGTGTCTGGTTCTAGTATTTCATATTTCCTAGTTCCTACTGCATGAGTTTTTTCTCCTCTCGCTCTTGGAGGGTGCAGATGCTTCTTTTCCTCCTCTCCTCCATATCTTATCCTCAAGGCCTTTGTCTGTCTCTGGGTGCACGGTTGCTTCTGCATTTTTCTGGAAACTGAAAAACATTTAAATGGATCTCGTTAGCTGGTCTCTCAACGCGATTGATAAAAATATTTTCAACCATGAGAACGGGAGAAGGGGCTCCCGGATGCCCCGCCGGGACAGACCCAGTTGGACACATCATGGACTCCTGGAAACAGTGGAACTTGATTTGTTTATCTCAGCTGTCTGTGGAGGACTCTGAAGACGTGTGGATATTCGTGGTGTTGGTGTCGGGTTTCCTGCTCATTGGCCTTGGAGGCTACCTGTCTTACCGGAAAATTAACGAGCTGTCGAGGAATATTGGCCTGATGCCGGAGCTCAGAGTTGGTTTGCACCGCGCTGTGAATTCACAGACTCACATAATTGTCGAGATGAATCGTAACATTGGGACTTTGGCCGAGTTTCATTCATTGGCACAGAGGATGGATGCCATCAAGGAGAGAGTGGACGAATCAGCACGGATTGGGATAGTTTAATGTCCATTATTGGGATTTTGAGAGGTTGAGGACCAACAAACTGTAAGACAGAGAGGAAATTATCTCTGTCTGGCCCCAAAACAATTTCTAATCAGAATCTGGCGTCCTTGAGCCTGCAAGGCTCCAACGAAAACTCCCCCTCAGAAGATATGTGGAATGTGCTGTCGCTATGGCAACTCAACTCTGCCTCCTTTCCCAGCCTGGGCGGGACTGCGGGAAGGCCGCTGAAACGTTCCAGGGTCACTGCAACCCTCCAACCCTCAATGCTCCTCCCCCATCCACACTGAGGTGACATGCGCTGCTTATCATGGCTGCAGGAACTGAAGTGGGGATAGTCCCAACCCACCACCCCACCTAGTGGACACTTGCGTTGTGTTGTCTGGAGTCTGTTGCATATCTGTCTGAGGTGGTTTTTTTTTTTTTTTTTTGCAGAGCAAAGCTGCCCTCCTGGTGGAGGGTAACTGAAGTGCCTTTTTTCCCTCCACCTGAACCAATCCTCATGTAACCCTCTTATCTCTATTAAGGTAGCGAGACTCAGGGTTGCGAATGACCACAGTCACCAATTCTTGTCATGTGTCTTGCCCATGTATGTCTGATCTCTGAATTGTGTGTACTGAAACTCTAATTTCCCTCTGGGATTAATAAAGTATCTTTGATTTGATTTGAAACACAGCCATTCTCTGCTGGAGCCTTTTGCACAATGCGGAGCCCTATATCCGACCCAAGCTACAACACTCTTGGCCCGCTGAAACAGTTAAAAACACCGCCAACCACCTCTGGAGCCCAGACCAGGGAGGGGTACAGCTCTGCTGGCTGCCTGAAACCGTTGAATACATGTCCATGCTGGAGGCTGTTGTGCGATGCTGCGTCCTGGTTCCCACCCACTAAACAACTCTCCTGGCCAGCTGGAACAGTTTAAAACAGTATCATCTTCTTGAGCTTGTTGCAAGGTGCTGCACTCTGCATCCGACCCAGGGTACAGCTCTAATGGCCCCCTGCAATTGTTTAAAACACAGCCATCCACTGCTGGAGCCTGTTGCGCAACTGCAGCACCCTGTATCCGGCCCAGGGTATAGGTCTCGTGGCCATTTGGAACAGTTTTAAACACAGCCGTCCTCTGCTGGAGCCTGTTTTGTGATGCTGTGTCCTGTTTCCAACCCAGAGAACAGCTCTCCTGGCCAGCACTGCCTTCCACCTCTGGAGCCCAGACCAGAGTGCTGCGCCCTGGTTCCGACCCAGGGCATAGGTCTCATGGCTCACTGGAACAGTTTTAAACACCGGCACGCACGCACGCACGCACACACACACACACACACACACACACACACACACACACACTTCTGCAGGTTGCTTTATTGCTCTGAAACACTGACATGAGAAGGTGTGACACAGATTATACAAAAATCAGACAAAAACAAGAGAACTAACATCCAGCTAGAGCTCCACACTCATCATTTATGTCCAAAAATAAGCATTTAACAGAAATCAGGACTAAAATCCACAAAACCAGGAGATATACAGAAAACACATGTTCATGCAGAAAGCCAGTCATCAGATCAGCTGTCAAAAATATTACGTAAACAATAAAAATTATGATGAAAGATTAAAAAAACCAAATCCAACATGGCAAAGATTCCTATCTGGTACAAAACATTCTGAACATTTCATGAACTCAGAAAGGCACCAGGGCTTTGGTCTAAATCACAATTTATTGTTGTTGTTAGTGCTAAACATAACTTCTCTATAGAAAGTCTTCCCTTAGGTGGCACGGACTGCTTCAAGAAGCTTTGGTGAAGAAAAAGCTAATCCCACCTGGAAAGCACCAGACAGGTCACAACACTAAATCCCTGCTCAAGTAAACACGGAGAAGTTCCTCACACCTGAGTGGGGAAAGGACAGCTACACTCGTTGGTTTACACACTGCAGGTAAACGAGTGATAATCCTTGTGCAAAGTCAAGTGGTCCCTCTCAGAGGTAGTCTTTCCCTCAGCTAAGCTGCAGATGGGATGGCTGCTGTGTTGAAGGGACCACCACCTAACCAACAGACAGGAAGTGGTTTAAAACCAGTTTTTGTGTACCTACCTGGAGCCTGATAGGAAGTGATTCTTCCCTAAGCCTTTAGATACTCTGGTCCTTTCAGTTTGGAGACCAGATGGTTCCTTCTCTAAAGCCACGGCTACTAAGCGTCCCTTTGGAATCCACTAACAGCACAAGGGGATGAACCACAGCAGAGAGCAAAGCTTCACAGGTTGGATGACTGCTGATGGCTCGTCTTTGGCTCAGACATAAAAACAAGATGGCTGTGAGACTCCAGACCTGCTGGGCAGGATTCCTGTTCAGGTCCAGTCTACCAGCCCGCTCTAATCTACTCTTTTTGGATCACATTCATTAAAAAATTGACTTTATCAAGTTTCCTTGCTTTGGATTGTTGAATTGTACTCACGCACAACTTTGGCTAAAAACACATAAATATGTGACACCTGGTCAGCTGGGCCCAGTCTGACTTAACACCGCCTCTTCAGTCTGTGTGGGATGGGGACACTTAAAGGACTGAATGACCCACTTTGGTTCTGGCCTCTTCCTGATCCTTTTCATTCCCTATCATCTTTTGATCAACACCTTGCTCCTTGCCAAGAGTCACCTCCTTTCTCCGTCGTCTGGCCTCCACCCAGGGGATGAGGCACAACAGGATGCCTCCGAATACGGGAGGGATACCCGCCAGGTAGAATGCCAGATCATAGCTCCCCAGCTTGTCCCTCAGAAAACCTGTGGAACACACACACACACAAAGATATTTAACAGTGATATAGTATTGTGCAATGAAGGCAGAGCACAATCAAAAACAAGTAAACCTGCAGAACTACGTGTTTTTATTCATCCAAAGATTATGACTCGTGGGAGTCAGCAGGATGAGAAACAGCGAGTAAGTTAATAACCACACCACCTGTTGAACAGGTGCAGAAAAACATCGTTTTCTCTGCTAAACTTTGTTGATTTCCCAGTAAAAAGTCGCGTTAAGCAGCTGCAGCTCGTCTCCCTGCTGGAGTCTCAGCTTGTTAACAATCCTCCAGGTGGGCAGACTGAGAAAATGCTGGAAACGAATCAAAGCTTTGCAGCGTTTTAAGTCAAAGGAGACAGAGCTAAGTTGTTTAAACACGTGGAAGTAGCCTAGCAGCTAATGGCACCAACCTGTAACCCCACAGCTATTTAATTACTAACATATATTATTTTAATGACATGTTATGTTAGCAACTGCTTTAGGAGTGACGTTTGAGAAACCCTTAAAAAGCTAATAGGTGGCCATTTTAACTCTCATAAGGCAGACTGGATGTTTTCTCTAGACGTCTGTAAATCTAACATTTCAGATGAGCAGCAGGTTGAAGTTACCTTCATAGACTGATTAAAACATCGGTTTTAGGTAGCAAACATGACAGATTTAATGTTTCACCAGGTTGTGATGCTGATAAAGCAGCTAGCATCATCTCTGTTGCTGCTGATCACAGCTGCTCACTGAGGGACACAAAATACACGTTTATTTTTCTTTAAGCATCTTTGGTGAGTTCTTGCTGTGTTGAAATTCTAATTCCATCTTTTAGTTCTTTTTAAAACACAGAAAGGTTTTATTTACCTGCAACATTTCATTTTTTAATAAACTGACTTGAACGAACGTAACTAGAACAATAAATATTTTAAAAGGGACTATATGGTGCAAACTCCACATCTGTTATATTCTTATTTCCTCATGAAAAACAACCCAACGAGATTGTTGGCTTTCCATATCAGTTCCCTGTCTCAGCTCCTTCTAGGGTGACCGGACCCCAACTCGCCCAGTAGGGGACAATGTGAAATTCCAATGTAGCCCAGTTGAGATGGGCTGTGTAATAGAAGCTCAGGTATTTTTAAAATAACGGAATAATAACATCTAAATTAATAGATAAAAATGTGAATACATTTGAGAGGTTAAAAACATAAATTAGTTATTTAAACAGAGACTATTGGTCATTTAAAATGAGAATAAAAAACTGCTAATACTGAATAAAAACTAGTTAGAAAAAAAAAAGTCATCCAGTTTACTATGCTCCTTGAATGTTACACGTTTGGTTAAAATGTACGTGGATGCAAAGCGGCATGTTACAACCTATCCTTGTGATTATTTTATGTGTCAACCGTGTTCTGTAAAGTTTTACACTGCTTAAGGTTTTGTGTTCTGACCAACTGAGCGAGAGTGGGCCGAACTATGGGTGCGCTGAAAGAAAAAAGAAAAAAGAAAAAAGTCGGGCATACCAGAGCGCGAGCACACGGTGCAGCTGATAGTTGACGAGGAGAGCTTAACGACGTCCATTACAGCGGTTAATGCTGAGTTGCCGGCTTGTAACAGACTTTAAAATGCCTACAGAAGGAAAGCACCTTTGTGTTAATGTTTTTTTTTGTTTCCACATGATGTCGTTTGATAAAGTAGACCATGCTAAATGCCATTAGCGTATTAGCACGCTAGTGGGGGTTAGCATATATTGTAATAGGGTATCAGTCGATGTTACCTGCTAATGATTGTAATAGCTAACGTCATTGTCTAGTTAAACTTTTGCTGCCCGGTAAGGGAAGAAAATAAGTTTTACACATTTCTATAGAAGTGGAATGGGAGTTAATCTATGGACACCCTGAAAGAGAAGAAGTTCCCCCTTCATCCTGGGCGCCACGTGTGGGATTGTCTGTCAGGAGGACCTCTGGGGCAGTGTTGCCAACTGCTTTTGACTGAAAGTAGCTGAAGTTCCCCCAAAAGTCGCTAGATGTAGCCAGATGGCGTCACATGCTAATTTACATATTGATGATATATACAATATATATATATATATATATATATATATATATATATATATATATATATACATACACACACACACATACAGATATATATATATGTGTGTGTATATACATGTATATGTATATACACACACATATATATATATCTGTATGTGTGTGTGTGTATATATATATCTGTATGTGTGTGTGTGTATGTATATATATATATATATATGACTAAAAGGGAGGAAAATAAAAACTATGTAATGTGTTCAAGTTATTAATTAGTATGATTAAAATGGCCCAAATTACTTTGATATGTACAATAAATTCCAAAAGTATCAATAAAGTGACATTAAGACAGATATGGTGTGGTGATCCAAACAGTTCTGTTGTAGGATATAACTCAGACCTCCTGCTCTCCTCATTCTCACAGACATTTTCCTAAAAAGCTGTTTTTTTTACACCTCATAGTTTCTCAACTTCTCTGTTGTGTATTCTCTCCATCGTGATAATAACGGCGCACCGAGCAAAAGGGAGCGGGTGTCTCATAGTTCAACCATCCCTGTGTCACTGAAGGAAATTCAGATGAGCCACAGAGCTGCGTGTGTAAACGGGACGGTAGTTGAAACTCCCGATGACTTTATTTACCAAATGCAGGAAAAACCAAAGTGTCTGACGGCTGCAGAACCAGAGATCGCAGGTTGATGCCTGCGCCGTCTCTGGTAGAAGCATGAGTCTGCAGCAGCAGCAGACGTAAATCGGCGGTCTCCAGCTCTGCAACTGTACCTTTGTCTTCGGCGAATCGGCCCGGCCGAAAACGGTTTATGATTGGTCAGTCCTCGTGCACATGTGCAGATTATCATTCTCTTTCCTTTTTCCCGGAAGAACGGTTCAGAGTGCAAATGGTTTCTTTGTTGCTAATCTGTAGGGATTATCTACATGAACGTTCTACAGAAAGTAGCAACGGGTCCTGAGAAATGTCGCTAGGCGGTTTTTGGAAAAAAAGTCGTTAGGAACAGCGACAAAGTCGCTGAGTTGGATTTGCCTTGGCCAAGGGCGTAGGAACCGGGGGGGACGGGTGGGACGTGTCCCCTCCAATATTTGACAAACGCGCATTTGTCCCCCCCAATAACATGGAGAAGAAAAAGATTGATTTTGAAATATTTGACTCGCGAGCTTTTATTTTGAAAGACACCGCGGACTTCTCTCCGACACAGCCCCTCCCCCCAGGGAGTCAGACAGGCTGGCTGAGAGAAGCAGGAGTCAGAGCTGGGGCAGACACAGGTGTCAGAGACAGACGGCAGCAGCTCAGCGAGTTCTTCTCATGGGCAAAAAAAGAAAGGAAGGAATTGTGAGTTGGTAATAATTTAGTCCAAGAGTATAATTGTATTCCTGGTCAAACGCTAAAATGGCTGACTAACGTAAACATCTTGCTAGTTAGCATTAAACATTAAACACTACTAGTCAACAAAAAATGGCGAATTTTACAGTAACAGACAAAAACCATTTGACACGAAATAAATAAAAAAGTTGAATCTCCACATAAAAATGGAGTTTGTAAGTGTGATTGTTGCTTGTTTGTGACATTCTCATCACATTTCATTTTTAAACCTTATTCATGTCACTTTTTTTTCATATAAGAGACCAGAGGAAGTTCAGCAGGAAATGATGAAGAAGGTGAGACAGGCAGCGCCAGACCTGCTGAGGGTGAGACAGGGAGCACCAGACCTGCTGAGGGTGAGACAGGGAGCACCAGACCTGCTGAGGGTGAGACAGGGAGCGCCAGACCTGCTGAGGGTGAGACAGGGAGCGCCAGACCTGCTGAGGGTGAGACAGGGAGCACCAGACCTGCTGAGGGTGAGACAGGGAGCACCAGACCTGCTGAGGGTGAGACAGGGAGCACCAGACCTGCTGAGGTGCAGGTAGATGTTACAGTGAAGAATGAGATGGTTTTAGGTTGCTGATGAGAGGAAGATTTGAATGTAATAATAAGTGAACACAGTTAAATATATGTAATCCCATTACAAGTAGGGCTGGGCAGTACGGTTTAAGAATAAATTACATTCTGTATACACTGCCTTAGAAATATTAGAAAAATAAGTGTTAAACTCTGCTTTCTGGTGCATTCAGACTGCAAATTTGGCCACTGTTTGTTTCTTTTGTCTTCGTCTTCATCTTCATCTTCCTCCGCTTATCCGGGTCCGGGTCGCGGGGGCAGCATCCCAACTGGGGAGCTCCAGGCCGTCCTCTCCCCGGCCTTGTCCACCAGCTCCTCCGGCAGGACCCCAAGGCGTTCCCGGACCAGATTGGAGATGTAACCTCTCCAACGTGTCCTGGGTCGACCCGGGGGCCTTCTGCCGGCAGGACATGCCCGAAACACCTCCCCAGGGAGGCGTCAAGGAGGCATCCTGACCAGATGCCCAAACCACCTCAACTGGCTCCTTTCGATCCGGAGGAGCAGCGGTTCTACTCCGAGTCCCTCCCGAATGTCCGAGCTCCTCACCCTATCTCTAAGGCTGAGCCCGGCCACCCTACGGAGGAAACTCATTTCGGCCGCTTGTATCCGCGATCTCGTTCTTTCGGTCATTACCCAAAGCTCATGACCATAGGTGAGGATTGGGACGTAGATCGACCGGTAAATCGAGAGCCTGGCTTTCTGGCTCAGCTCCCTAAAAATACACCATTAATGTAAAAAAGAAACTCTAAAAAAACTATGTTCACATCCAGAATCAAACCCAGGTCTTCTGCACGAGAGTCCGACGTCTTACTAGGCGAGCTACACTCGTAACATTTACAGTTTCTGTAACATTTATATCCTTGATGACAGCTGAAACAACGTTCAAAGAACGGTTCGGAGCGAAAATGGCTGTTTTGTTGCTAATTAGCAGGAAATATCTAGAAGAAAGTTCTACAGAAAGTAGCTAAGGGTCCTCAGAAATGTAGCTAGCTTTGTCACTAGGCGTTAGGAACAGCGACAAAGTGGCACTGCCTCTCTCTCTGCTGCTAAAGCTACGGATAGCAAATGCTACGGGCGATGCCTGAGCGTGAACGCGCATGAAGCAGCCTGCTCGACCCGAGCATCTCTCTTTTTCTGTGATTTTACAGAAAAACAGGCAATCACAGTAAAAATGCCAGGGCTCATTCTACAGGACCAGGGCATTGCAGGAGAATGTATGAAGAAGACATTTATTATTATATATTTCATGTTCTATACATTCTGTTTGAACTCAACTCGGTAGGCCCACATTAAATGCAGGTTTAAGCAGCTTTTTAGATTGTTCACAGAATAATTACAACAACCTTCCACAACAGAATGACAGTAAAATCTACCAGTAGCATTTTAGACCTATTTATGTTTATTTTTAATAGATTTTCCATTTCATTTTGACTTCATCATCCCATTGAAGAAATATTCATTGTTATTTGCAAGTTTTTGTCTGAAAGCTTTCCTCTAAGAGAACAAACTATGAAGGCTTCATTGTGTCTTTGATGTGCTTTAACCCTCTGGAGGCGGGCGTTGCAGATCTGCAACGTTAAAACCTTCCTACCTGGTTACTCCACATACGAGTTTCATGAGCATTTTCTTACTCAGGAGTTTCCCTGAAGGACTTAGTTGTTTGTCCTTTTATCAGCACTTATTTAGAGCCTGAGAGGGTTACAGAGTTTAGTTTGTATGTATCTAAAACAACTCAACCCCGGCACCTTGAATGTGTGACTGCATGAACGTCTGATTTTCTGCCGTTTCATGTGGGACTTCTCGCCGTGACACAAAAAATGACTCCGAAACAACAAAGACTCCGTCAAACAGCGTTTTCTCCACAGTACTCATCTCTCCATCTTTCGCGCTCACCCTGTCATTTTCTTTTGTTTTGGTGGTTTGTGTGCACGCGCCACGCTCTCCAGACCTGCATTGAGGTCCCGCCTCCTAGTTTGATTGACAGCAACAGGCAGCTTTCTGCACACAGCTTATGCGAGATTTAATCATGAAATGGGAGACCGGCAATAATTCAGGACACAGTCTCAAATGCAGGACTGTCCTGCCTTGCTCAGGGGCACCGAACTCGAACTCCCACGGGGCCGAAATGAAAAACTCCACAGATATGAACGGTTGAACCTTTTCATTTGGAAACAAACTTTTTTTGTAGTAACACTGAATGTGGAAAAACCTAATTACACAAGAGGAAGTGCATTTTTTGAATAAAGCACGAATCAATAATATTCATTACTTTTCAATGCTCTAGTTCTTTTTATTCTTTGTGTATAAATCATTTCTTTAGTTGTGAATATTTTATTTTTAATATTATATATATATATATATATATATATATATATATATATATAAATATATAATATATTTTATTTTTATTTTTATTTGAAGTTGTCTTGCTGTTAACTCATTTTTCTTATTTTTTACTCTCATTCCTGCTCCTGTAATGAATGTTGTTGCTGCGGTGACTCCAAGCTTTCCCCACTGAGGGACAATAAAGGGATTTTCTACTCTGTTTCTATTCTATTCTTCTATCTGTAATCTTTCCAGTTCCTGTTTTCGAGTAGGTGAAATCTTTTTTTTACGGGCCAACAACAAAACCCCAGAAACATGGACGTAATTTGGGGGGGGGCAGGGGGGACATGTCCCCCCCCACTTTTTCCAAAGTCAAGGTTTGACCCCTGCACTTTTTACCATCCAAAAACAATATTACGCTATATTAAACTGACACTGGTTGAGCTCTAGGACCAGGCAGAAAACAACCGTTTGTGTTGAAGCCTGTTTCCCATTAGAACATGCTGTAAAGATCCCCCCCCCTCCGTGTCTCCGCCCCCCCACCCCCACTTCTAAAGTGAAAATTACGTCCATGCCCAGAAATAGTAATTCTCTTAAATTAAAATACCTCACCTAATAACTTTCATGCTTTGGAGCAGAAAAAGTGCATAAAAACCACAATAATCCAGCTGAGTTTGCTCCGCTCTGATTCGCTGTGATGCTCACCTGCTCCTGCCAGACACCTGCGCCTGTGGGCTTGGACTCTGAGCTGAGGAGGGAGCTGTGTTCTTCTGTTCATCTTCATCACAGTTGCTCATACAACGGTATGTGCTGTTTAATCTCCACTGTTATCTAGGCTGCACTTTAAACAATGCTTAGAAACCAAAACTAGATTTTTGCCTGCCAGAGAGTAGGATTCCTGCAGTCTTCCTGAACAAAAGTCTAATCAGCAGAAATAGATGAGTTTTATCTTCAGGAGCTCACAAGCTCAGCCAGAGTGGTTTCACAGACACTGGCAGCTGCACCAGAGTGAGTTTCCAACAGATAACTTCTTCAAATCAGTGCCGTTCCAGCGTTGAAACCACCTGATGGATAGGCCAGAGCAGTGAGTTGAACCACTAGCCACTAGCAGAACGGTTCTAACAGTCTAGTCGGGGATGGACTGGGACAGAAACTCATCCCCAGCTAGTTTACCACACAGGCCTAGTCAAACACAGACACTAGAGGGAGCTGAAGACCTGCTCAGGTCGGGGCTCCTGTCTGACCCGCAGCAGGAACGGACCTGCCAGACCTCTGTGAGGGAAGGCTTCTGGCCTGTCTACCTGCTATCGGGGGGCCGACCACCATCGGCACAGACATCAGGCCAAGCAGAAAGCCGATGGCCTGGGACACGTCGTTGGCCCCAACCAGCTCAAAGGCGATGGGGGCCATAATGCAGATGAAGCAGCCGTCGAAGAGTCCCATCAGCAGGCACACAGCGATCAGCCCTCCAAACATCTGGCACACGGGGATCATGGTGGACATGAAGCCGATAACAAAAAAGGAAGCCACCTGGAACCAGACAACAGAGAAGTTTAGGCTTTGTGCTCCTCCATCACATATGCACGTAGAGATGACCCGTTCGGTGTTTGACCTCCATCGTGGTATTCAGAGGAATACCTCTCAGCCCCTCTTCAGATCCTCTGGTGCTTTTGCATGTTGATGGAATCTCTTCCAGACCTCTCACTCACCTGTAGGAACACTTTGTTGACTCCTTTCACAAAATCCGCCACACTGCCAAATATGAATCGGCCCAAACAGGAAGTGATGCCAATGCACGTGAGCAGAACCTCCTTATTGCTGTCTTTTCCAAAACGTTCTTCCACGTGTTGCATCTGGAAGTAACAACAGTCAACCAGAGAAGAATTATTTTACTTTTTATGGCGAAATAAAGTAAAATAAACCTAAATAGATTCTTTGGGGGATCCAGTATTTATTTCTGAGTGTCTTCATAGGTGCGTTTCATCTACACGTCACCGCTGAAGGTCCACAAACGCCGAACCTGAACCAGTCAGAGGAACAGCTTTGGGACGTAGGACTCAGGCATGCCGGTGAAAGTGATAAATAACATAAAGTTCGATTATACTGCATTCTCTACAAATCACAAATGAATGAAAGAGAAGAAACTGATATCAAGGTTTTGTTCCGAAGCCTAAAGTCTCGTTTATGCTGAACGTGGTGTGGAGGCAGCCTGACACCTCCAGAAGTCTGCTCCCACCAGAGCAACATAAAAAAGAAACCAGTAAAAATAACACCAACCGACACTGTGAACTGATTCCCTTTGAAGCCTTCATTAATAAAACAAAAGCAGAAATAAATAATAGGTTGTAATACATCTTTGATACGTTCTTGCTGTGTTTGACTTCTAATTTAATTTTTGGTTCTTTTCTAAAACACAGAAAAGGTTTCTTTTCACCTTGCTTGCTAACAGTTTCGTTTGCGGCTGCAAACTTCCTCAGAGCTGACGCAGCCGCAAACGAAACCGTCAGCAAGCAAGGTGAAAAGAAACCTTTTCTGTGATTTAAAAAAGAACCAAAAATTGAATCAGGTTGTAAAACGATGGATTTATTTTGATATATACCAGATTCACCTGGCTCTTTAACTTCAGTTATGACTTGGACACACCTGATTGCAGGAAGAAGACCCAGCTTTGTCATGTAAACCTGCTCAAGCCCTACTACAGGGTCTGGAAGTGTCCCAGAGCAAAGTCCAGTCTCAGAGGGAATGGGGGAAATTCTGCTTTCCAGGAAGATGTAGGCATGGGCCCCCCAGATGACTGCTTGCCTAGCATTCCTGAGTCCCGCCCATGGGACAAAACCCCATTGCACTCTAATTTAAGGGGTTAAGCAATTCTGAGGTGCAATGTGATGTTAATATGCATCCAGTGAATTATGTTCTAGGAAGTTCAACTCTTATCAGTTAAACTATTCTGTGATTGAAAAGGAAACCTTGGCTCTTGTTTTGGATCTTAAGCATTTCAAGGTGTGTGTGGGATCGGGTCTGCCTCTGGTGGTCCATACTGAACATGTGTATGTGTATACCAGATTGGAGATGTAACCTCTCCAACGTGTCCTGGGTCGACCCGGGGGCCTCCTGCCGGCAGGACATGCCCGAAACACCTCCCCAGGGAGGCGTCCAGGAGGCATCCTGACCAGATGCCCAAACCACCTCAACTGGCTCCTTTCGATCCGGAGGAGCAGCGGTTCTACTCCGAGTCCCTCCCGAATGTCCGAGCTCCTCACCCTATCTCTAAGGCTGAGCCCGGCCGCCCTACGGAGGAAACTCATTTCGGCCGCTTGTATCCGCGATCTCGTTCTTTCGGTCATTACCCAAAGCTCATGACCATAGGTGAGGATTGGGACGTAGATCGACCGGTAAATCGAGAGCCTGGCTTTCTGGCTCAGCTCCCTCTTCACCACGACAGATCGGCTCAGCGTCCGCATCACTGCAGACGCCGAACCAATCCGCCTGTCGATCTCCCGATCCCTCCTACCCTCACTCGTGAACAAGACCCCGAGATACTTAAACTCCTCCACTTGAGGTAGGACCTCTCCCCCGACCCGGAGTGGGCAAGCCACCCTTTTCCTTGCCTTGCTTGATCTTTATTGTAAATTGATGATGTGATGTTTATTTGACACGGACACAACATTGGACGAGCCAGTTGCATTGTTTAGTGTGTTAGCACACGTGCTAATGTGCAACACTTGTGACAACAAAACAGTTCCTGCAGAACAAAGCTGATATTATTATTAGACTCAAGAGTCCTCCAGACGCACGTGTATCAGAAGATTCTAGGATTTTTGCTTTATTAAGTGATTATACACACTTCGTCTTGATTCAGAAAAGAGTCGGGTTTATAAAAGTAAGAAGTTATTTTATTACAGTTACAACATGATAAGTGAACTAAGCATTTTCTGTGATTGGATGGCGCTAAGTGTGATGAAGGCTATGGTCAATGTGATGTAGGTCAGAACTTCCGAATCTCGGAGAGCGGCGTCTCCGGATGAAAAGGAATTTGGTTTGCTCTAAACTATGAAGTTGTTATCTTTCATAAACACATCAGACACAATCTGCCATGTCTACTTCACCCGTTTCAGAGGGACCCTCTTGGTGGATCTGAAAGTCACACGGGTCGGCTGGCCGCTGGCACCGGAGGGCTGTAGAACACCAGTGTACCGGCTCTTCAGTCCAGACACGTCTCGGGTCACGACAGCTGGATGGAACCGTGCGTCTGGACGACTCTAATAATAATATCAGCTTTATCCATGCTTTCGTTGTTTTTTAAACACAGAAACAGTTTTGTTTACCTGTTTGTAGCTACAAAAGATGGATAAAAGAAGCTATAGAGATAAGGAGACGTGGATGTGGGACCATGAACAGGGACGACGGAGTTTACACGCTGGACCACGCATGGGACTGCATCGTCGGAGAGGGGAGAGCGGGCAGTAGAGGGCGACAACGTCCTCTGCTGCCCGCAGATAAACGGAGAAGGAAGTGACGCGCCACCATCAGCGTCAGCCTGAAGAAGCCGGCAGCCGTCGGCGAAACTGTAGCTACAAACAGGTAAACAAAACTGTTTCTGTGTTTAAAAAAGAACGAAAGCATGGATTTAGAAAGACACAGCAAGAACACACCTAAGATGTTCAAAGAGAATATCAGCTTTGTTCTGCAGGAACTGTTTAGCTGTCTCAGCTTTGCAGGTGCAAAAAGGCTTTCACGACGTGTCAAAATCTTTGATGGTTAAAGAGGTTGCGACAGATGGCCGGTCTGAAGCTTTCTCCAGAACTAACGAATCACTCCGCATGATCCAGTTTTAAGGTTTTGATGTTATGATTTGCACAGCCAATCAAAGGCTGACAGCTTGGGAGATGTTACCAAGACAACTCAGAAACACACCTTCTTTGATACCGGATGTTCTGACTGGTTAAAAGGGCAAGCTATGTGTTGGAGTTTAACTTAACCGTACTTGTTATTGTGTGAGCACAGATGTTACGAACCTGTCGTCTGATTAGCTTAATGAATTCACATGTACTGGAATGTTTACGGTGTGGAGGTCCGTGAGACAACTCTGATCATGATTTGGCGCTTTATAAATAAACTTGAACTGAATTGAATTGACATGTCCTCAAAAGTATATACCAACGTGTGTTTGTGTGTGTGTGTGTGTGTGTGTGTGTGTGTGTGTGTGTGTGTGTGTGTGTGTGTGTGTGTGTGTGTTGTGCCCGGTAGCTGAGTCAGTTACAGAATAATTAGTGTCTTGCAGATTAATGATGTCCTTTTGGTGGCGAGACTTTGAGAATGTATCTGTGGACGTGCGCAGGACGCCACTGCCTGGAGCACATGAACAATCCAGTCCTGGTAGGCAAGAGTGTGAAAAGAGTTGAATTAATGCAATATAGGTAGAAACTGGATAACATATTTATTCTGGTTCCCCCTGGGTGTATAGGCTGAGGGCTTCCAGGGGAGCCTGTCACCCTTTCAGGGCAGCTGGGCTCCCCCTAGCTCCCCTGTGATTCGAACCTGTTTTTGAGTCTCTCATCCATGAAACCATGGAAAGCTAAACGCTAGCTAGAGCTACAAGGCTTCTTACCATGGAGTCAGACCTGGGATCTGTCACGCACTAAAACCACGAGTGGACATGGGGGAGGGAGGAAAAGCAGCCAGATGTTAGACGTTACAATCCCTCTGGTCTGAGGATTTTCAGAAGGAGCTCTGCTGTTCAGTTTCATTCCTGCAACTTCCACCTCCAGGCGGGTTGCAGCCATGTTGCTCAAAGGCCAGGGCTGTCTGCTGTCTTCACAAGCCCTCCCGTGACCTCCCCCAGCCCTCTACAACTCTCACATCTATCTGCATTAACCTCTGGATGACTTATTATCTGTTCTATATTACGAGCACATGACCAGGATTCAGAAGCTGCTTCCTGTCAGAAGGCGGAGGGCTGGAGGGATGAAGATGATCACGGTAGTAACTCATGACACACATACACCACTCACATGCCATTCAAGACCCCCTGCTCCAGCGGTTTGGAAAGGTCTATTGTCTCAGCCGACATTGGTCCTCCTTCTCCCTGTCTTATTCTGAATAGTGCAGGTTCGTGTTATATTTCCTGTCTTTATGGCAGACTACACTGATGTGTGTTGGTACAGCTGACGGCTGGCTCCTCCTCTTTTGTTTTTGAAACACTTACCTGCAGATTGACTAAACTGAGCCCAAACTGCACCACAACCTGCCTCCCCATTCTGCCAGAGGCCAACAATAAGACTGACATTAGTTGATGAACCATGCCCACGATGACTGAAGCAGCATAAACAGGAAGTACAGGAGCAGCGATGAGAGGTTCCCAAAAGGCAGGAATGGTTCTGCAGAAGCAGTACGTAGCCACGTTTCCGACTTCCAAAGGTGCCCAGTGACAGTCAAGGTCAAGGTCAATTTTATTTATGGGGCACGTTTACAGCAGCAAAGCTACACCCAAAGAGCTGTACAAGGTACAACAAAACAACAATAAGAACCTAAAATAAGATGAGCACACAACAGTCACAATCTATAATAAAAACTGTTAAAAACTATTAAGATGCTCAAGTCAGCCTGCATTAAAATCCAAATCAAAAAAATGTGTCTTAAGAAGGGATTTAAAATGCTCTGGATTCTGTGTGGTCCTGATGTTGAGAGGTAGCTTGTTCCACAGTTTGGGCCCAACCACAGAGAACGCTCTGTCGCCGCGAGTCTTGTGGCGGGTTTTTGGAACTGCAAAAAGAGCTTGAGAGCTGGACCTCATGGTTCTGGCAGGGACGTAAGCGGACAGCAGCTCAGAGATGTAAACTGGGGCCAGGCCATGAAGGGATTTAAAAACAAAAAGTCACATTTTGAAATGGATCCTGTAAGAGACAGGAAGCCAATGGAGAGAGGCCAGAACCGGGGTTATGTGATCCGCTTGCTGGTTCCAGTCAGGGCCGCAAAGCACTAGTACTTTGTTACCTTACTTACGTAGAAGCATGGATGGCGCTTTTCTTTTAGCCTACTTTTTACTTTTACTTCTCACATTCTATAAAAAAGCCTCATAACCGGTATTTAACTTCTTGCCAAAAATGCATCTAGATGAGCGGCACCATCCGAGAAGGTGGGTTTGATTGTGTTTGGATGATAAACATCTATTATTCTGACTCTTTTGGTTTATCCATGATCCATCACACACTGTGCATGACACAAATGACATCATAGTCCGGCTAGGGTTGCATTCATTCATTCATTCATGCATTCATTCATTCATTCCTAATGCATACTGATGATAGGTCATCGTTACTAAGATCTCATGTTTCTCCTTCAGTTTAATCCCCTTGGACTTCATCAGCTCTTTAACATTTTTACAGTCCAATAAAGATCATTAATAACTTGTCATTTCTACACTTTTAGTCAACTAGTCATCATGTCTTCCACTGCCTGGAACACATGTTAATGCTCAGTAGTCCTCATTTAGCTCTTATTGGCGTTAAAATGGTTATTTAACAAGACAGTCATGGCCTCTAGTGAGGTGCGTTGAAGCTGGAAAACCAGTAAAACATGCTGGATACTGGCCCTCGGGTAAGGGAGTTGGGAATGACTGGTTTAAACCAACCAGCCATCACTTCAGTTTCACACTGCTCACTGAATTTGATGCGTTAAACACTAACTTACCAGATGAACGTATGGCACAAAGTATCCATAAAGTGCAGCAGGAATACCAAAAGCCCAGATCCGATATCCCACTGACTTCCAGATGTTCCTGTTGAAGATCCGACTCATGCGTAACTTTCCATCTCGGGAACTGGTGGGTTTGATGGGCAGCAGGGGCTTGTAGGTGAAGCCAGCCAGAACTAGAATGAACATGAGGATGCAGAGGACACGCAGGGTGTGCTGCAAGCCAATTTTCTTGAGCAGACCTGAGAGGATGTAAGGCAGGGTGATGGTGAAGATGCTGCTGCCAGCCGTCACTATGCCATTCACCAGACCCAGGCGCTTCTTAAAATAGTGACCCAAGATAACCAGGCTGGGCTGGTATGCAAAGGAGCATCCACAGGAAAACACTATCCCATAGGTAAAATACATGACTCCAAGGGACCTACGAAGAGACACAAAAGAGACCTTTAGCTCATGACGAAAAGTTGTAACAATAACTTATGATGGATGTGCACCATATAGGACATGTGTAACATCAATTCCACAGGGTCATGGTGAACCTTTACCATTTGAGGTCTGTCTATTGTTTCTTACAAACCAAGAATGTCTGCTCCAGCAGAAAAACAGGTCCTTAACCCTCCTTCTAAACTGTTAAAGTTAACCATAGAACGGGAATACTGATGTTCCTAACTAGTGAAACCTTTGTGGATTCAAGATACTGTTTAGTGTCCTGACCATGCTAACCCTACTGATCAACAATTACTGGACTGGGACGTCAGTGGCCCAGGAGGTTCAGAACGCTCGTCTAATACCTGGAGGGTAGGTGGTTTGATTAGAACACCAAAGTTGTTTGTCCCTGGACGAAAGTGTCCTGCCCGTGGGAGAATATTAGTTGGGGGGAGAAGGGGTGATGGTGCAAAACGGCAGCCTTACCACCACTAGACTGCGTCAGGGCAGCTTATGTTAAAAGTAGCTTACCACTACCATCAAAGTCCGTGTGCATAAATAATGGGCTGTCAGTAGGGTAGAAGGGTGGTAGATTCTTCAATGTAGATTAGCCATTAGCTAGCCAGCACCTAGCCAGCACCTAGCCAGCACCCGGCCTAGCCAGTCATAGCCTATATGGATGTGGTAAACGGCCTGTATAGCACCAAGGCGCTTTACAATACAATCAGTCATCTACCTGTTCACATACCCATTCACACATTGGTAATGATGAGCTACGATGTAGCCACAGCTGCCCTGGGGCGCACTGACGAAAGCGAGACTGCCGAACACTGGCACCACCGGTCCCTCCGACCACCAGCAGGCAAGGTGGACTAAGTGTCTTGCCCAAGGACACAACAGCAGCATTCTCTGATGGGAGCTGGGCTTGACCCGGCAACCTCCAGATTACAAACAACCTGCTCTACCTCCTGAGCTGCTGCTGTCCCTGTGAATCCCCACTGCTGAGGCCGATCAGATTTGCATCTCCATACTCTACCAGCGAGACATTAACAATACGGTGAGAAGCTCTGCTGATACGATTCATCTCTGCTGATATTTAGTTAACGATTTGACAACAATTGTCGATTCAATAACATTCATGACGCAGTAAATCAGCACATTATTAACAACTTACAAGCCCACATCTGGTTTTCAAACTAGATTATGTTTCCCTCTCTCTTTCTTTGTGAAGGACGATTTTGGTCATTTTTGTTTAATTAGTAAGTTCAATATGAAAAGAAAACACACTTTTTGTACATATTTTTATTGTTACAATGCTATTGAAATAATTAAAAAAAATAAACATCAATGTGATTTTCTGCTATTTGCAAAACATTTTCAACCATGAGGTTTAGACAGTCAGAAAAAACCCAACCGAGTTTGAAAGTCATTAGAGATCATCAAATAATTATAAGTAATTATTATTAAAACACTGTAAACATCTGAAAATATTTCTAAATCCATACGGGGCTGTTGTAGAGGAATGTTACCGTTCCTTTAGGCTGGAGATGCAAGGTGATGTGAGTTTATCTCAGCTGCTTGTTGGACTACTGTGATAAAACGTTCTTCTGTCTAGGGCCTTTAGTTCTGCAAAAATGCTCCAATATTTAGGAATTATTTAACATTACTTTGCTCAAAGCTTCCGGTGCACATGTTGAATCAAAGTGCTGGGAAAAATGCGCTGCTGCAGAAACAAGAGACCACGTCACAGACTCCATGTGTTGTCAGTCTGTAGTTTGTCTTTTTCAGGAAGTTGTTTTTATTTTTGGCAGGTTAAAGCAGCTGTGATATAATGTAAGCAATACTTTATTTTATTTTTTTTTAATTTTTTTTTGCTGAGCACGCCCCCCGCCCCGCAGAGCTCCGTGCAATAGGAAACTGAGGGCCGACCAGAACTAACCAATAGCATTAGGCTACCGCTTAGATGCGTCAAATTTAAGGAATACCTCGGCTGATGCAGAGTTGATGAACTTTTCACGGACAAGAAAGTCTTTAAAATATAAATATATGAGAACACAACATGACATGAGAATGATACTCGTAAAACAAAGTGCTTTAGCTGTTTGTCGCTACAGAAGCACATTTATAAACACAAACGAGAAGTCTCCATCTTAAAGAAATTATTCTAGAGAATTATTGTGTGACGTGCTGATATGCTTGTCAGCCACTAGATGGTGCCACCGAATAAGAGAAATACTCCGGAAAGAGGCTTTAAGACAGGAAACTCTTTTTTTATTGTGTCCGACAATAGTTAGTTTTACTAACTGTGGCTCCACACCACCTGGCTCCTGCTTTCTAAATTCAGTTCAATTCAATTCAAGTTTATTTTTAAAGCGCCAAATCACGACAAGTGTTGTCTCAAGGCACTTCACATAATAAACATTCCAATTCAGGTCAGTTCATTAAGCCAATCAGAAATAATGTTTCCTATATAAGGAACCCAGCAGGTGGCATCAAGTCACTGACTAGTGTCAGTGACTATACAGCAATCCTCATACTAAGCAAGCATGCAGCTTCAGTGGTAGCATTATGTCCTTTGTTTTAAAGCTTAGAAACTTGATTATGGTGGAGTGTGGCGGTGCGTCTCTCTGTGGTTGTGGGCCCCCGATCGATGAGCTCGTTCAATCCTCAGGTCGCCCAGTTCGTCAGTTAACTCAAGGCCCTCGCGGAGTAAAATTTCCACAAATGAAGCCATCGATGTCGAGGCTTTCTCACTTCCTTCTGGCACCCCACACATTCTTATATTGTTGCGTCTGGAGCGGCTTTCCAGATCCACAAACTTCTCATGCAGTTTTAGCAAATCCGTGATGACTTCCTCCGTGTTCTGGACCCTCTCTTCTGTTTTCTCAATTCACCCTTCCATTTCGCTCATTCTGGCATTTAAATGCGTAATCTCCTCTCTTATTTTCTCTAATTGTTCTTTATTTTCTTGGCGGAATCCTCAACTCCTGCAGAATCTGCCCCATTTCTTCCGTTTCTCCGTGCTCTGGTGTTAGCTAGCACTTAGCCTGGTAGCCGCTAGTTGTAGCCGGCCTGAGTTCTTCTCACGTATGACGACGGAGGTGACGTTTCACTCTCAAAAATGGTACTAAGGCTCTTTCCCCTCCTTCTTGACCTTTTCGTGGTAAGATTCAGATAGTTTTATAGGGGGATTTCTTTAATTTTCTTGGTTTGGTCAGGAGCGTTGTCGCTATGCGGCCATCTTGATGATGTTCCGACCGGAAGTCCATATTGGTCTTTTTATACTCGGAATCAGGAGTTATTTTAGTGATCATCTTGTTTCTTATTTATTCATGTTCTGATTGTGCCCTGAGCAATTTTATGACAGAATAAAAACAAATAAAATCAACACAAATTGAAAAATCATCTTAAATAATCGAGATCTCAATTGTAGTCACAATAATCGTGATTATTATTTTTGCCATAATCGAGCAGCCCTATTGTAATGTACCGAAAATGAACCAAACCGTGATTGAAACCGAACCAGGAATATGGGCATCAAGGCGTCAGTTTGTTTTTAATACTAGTGGGGTCAATAACTATAAACCTGAGTGTGGCTCTCGGACAGCTCGGGACAATTATTATTAATGATTTATAAATTAGATGTTGTGTGTTTGATGCATCATTACAATATGATGTGGTGTAAATGACAGGTGTAGAAAGTCAAAGCTTTATTCCATAAGTGCAAGTTAAGGCAGGCAAGTGAACAAAACCACCATGGCTGAAACCGCTAAGGGTATAGAGGGCTGTGGAAAAGGGCTCGGTGATAACGCTGCAGAGAGCACGAGTGGCCGGTGATCTAGAAGACATTACTGCTGCTTTCCTACTGTAATGTGATGTAAGTGGTTAGTTTTAATAAATGACCAATAAGATGTGATTTCCAGATAAATATGAATTGTCAACATCATAATTAATCTTTTGATATTCGATTTAAGATTAAACTAGGTATTTTGGGTATTCCACAGGAACAACACTTTATAATCATTTGACGGAGAAAAAAGATATACTTTATAAAAATCTATTTAATACTATATTTCTAGTACTAGGATGATGCAGAACAAATGATTATGCATGCTGGGTTAAGGTGATATCCACTAAGACACTGGACTTTTTTCTGCCACACACGATGTTCGGACAGCAGTCACAGCAGTCGACTATCTTTGTCAAAGTTTGACAAAGAATGCTCACAAGCCTGTTGCCAAGAGTGTAAACCAGGCTACTTACATTTAATGTAGACGGTTGAGCGACTAAGAAATGAAATCCAGGAGAAAAATAGGCTAATTGATGAGTCAAGCCAAGCATTTCTCACAGGCACAGCTGTGTGTGTTGGCTGCCTCTCCTGGACAAATGTGATCCGGTCCAGACTTGGAGGATCTTGGCGCCACGCTACTATGGCTTGGAAATGGTGGTGGGTCTGATGTTAAGGTAAATATGGATCATAGAAGAGCTAATCCAGATGTCCCAGGGATGCTAGCAGGTAGCACGGGAGCATGTTGTGTGGGTGGATCCTTGTCCAGGATGAAAGCACCTGCTGGTGCTGATGAATGGAAATATATTGGGGCCAGGCTGAAGGTCCCCATTAAAAGCTCCATTCCAATTCATCCCATTTCAGGGTTTTCTCCACTCTGGTCTGAAGTGGTTCGAGGCACAAAAAAGAGCTCCGATAGGATCGAATCGTAGCCTCTTGATCTTTCCAACCATTTTACCGTGTTATCAGAGATGGCTGAACCAGACAGGTGGTTTCTCACTTGATGCACTGATGCCTGGAGCCTCAATCCATCCCAGCCTAGACCATCGCTGTGACCGACCGGCGGCCTTACGGAATTATGGAGGAGATTCCTCTCGTCTGAGATCACTGGATGTGAATTTCCGTGGATCAACGTCCTACATCCTGCGCCAAAGAAGAGAAACCCTGTGTCAGGTCTGTTGATTCCAATCTTGAGTATTCGGATGGGG